TCAGCACGAAGATTTCCTATGATGATATTGCGGCCTCTTGTTGCAATGCTGATAAAGGAGAAAAAAAGAGTGATGACCTACCCTTGGGACCTTCATTCCCTAGGAAGTTAATGCTTGCGAAGAAAAAGACACATTCATGAATGATGACCTTCTACTATGTGACACTCCTCATAATTGCTCATTATACATAGTTGGCTATATGCGTGATAAGGGAAATCGAATTTTGATTGATAGAGGATCCTCAGTGAATATTTTTCCAATTCGCATCGTGAAGGAACATTGATTCCCATGAACGAACTCCCCAAAATCCACTTGATGATTCGAGGATTCAACTGGGGGGAGGGGGGGAGGGGGGAAAGAGCCATAGGCTCAATTAAATTAGAGATCACTATTGCAAATATGAAATCAAGTGAATGGCTTGCATGTGATTGATGCAAAGACTTCATACAATATCTTACTTGGAAGTCCTTGGATACACGAGAGTAAAGTAATCTCATCCACCTACCATCAGTGTTTGAAGTACTACGAGAGTGGAGAAGAAGATAGTTGCTTATGGCAAGCCATTCATCGAGGCCGAGTCACACTTTTTACTTGAAGAACCACGTTATGAAGGTGCTAAAAGCTAATGATGTCACGAAGAGAAAGAATGATGAGTTCACAACTAAAAGAGCTGAGGTGACTGCTGGTAAAGTCAAAGTTGCCATTAGGGAGGCACACCCTAATACAAATAAATCTAATAGTGGGAGCATCATTTCTTCTAGCAAGAAGGTAGATCGTACTTTTATTATGTCCCAAAGATAAAGAAAGAGGAAGGTAGATCAGCCAGCCTCCAAACTAATGTGCTAAAGGGGCTAACTCTTCTAATCAAACGAATTTAGGCAATAATGTTGTCCTCAAAGCTGCATGGAGGGTTCTTGGCCCAAAGTCTTTTTCAAAATATGGTACTTCCTACGAAGCGTACGGATAAATTACACTACAAGAAAAATGGCCATTAGCGACGAGAAATATGGTCCTTAAAAGTCCAATTCTGGTCCCTAAATGTCACTAGCGACCGAAAAAAACTGGTCGCAACCCGTCGCTAAAGGCTCCGCCGGAACAAGTTAGTAACGAAGAGGTTGCACATCTGGTCCTTAAAGGAAGTTAGCAACCAGCGGTACTCTTGTCCCTAAAATACATTTAAGGACCATATTTTTAGTCCCAAAATATGTTGCTTGGTCATTGTTTTGGTGTATTCAAATTACTGGCGACCATTTACCCTGGTCCTAAAAGGTCTTTAAGGACAATTAATCCGGTACTTAAAGGATCTTTAAGGATAAGCTTTCCACTAGCCCATAAATTGTGGTTCCTTAATCAATATATGATCTTTTTCAATCCCATTTCACCGCAAAATAATACAATTTATTGTACAAGAAATTAATTGGATTCAACAAAATTATCAATGATATCATTATTTTTTATATATGAAGAAGCACAAAAAATAGATTTACATCTCAATATACCATAACTGGACTATGATATAATTCACTATATTGTTTACACAACCTCTTAGCAGAAGAGATAACATCCATGGAAAAAAGTATAAAATTTTGCCTAGCAATCCTTGCAAAATAATAATTAACTCGTCAACTTTCATGAAGTCTTCAAAACCTACATCTTGACGTGCAAACTAAGTCACCAAAACCTGTGAAAAATATAAAATATTCTATGCGAAAAGCTACAAGGATGAACTAGAAAATTGGTAAAAAAAAATTTCATCTAAATTAAGAGTAGTAATAATTTAACCACTCACATGTCAGATTCTATCAAGTGTAATTATATGCACCTTCAAAATTTGAAACATCAAGGAAAAAGGGGCTGCGAAAAATATAAACGATAATAAACTAGAATATCAAACAAATAATGTTAGACTAGAAGCTGACATTCTTTTATCTTTGAGAATTAGGGGCCAGAAAATAATCTTGACCCTATTTATATTCATTTAGGGACCAGATTTCCCAGTTGTCCTAAATTTTTGGTCCCCAATAAGGTTTTTTTTTGTAGGTAAAGATTTTGATCCTAATGCTTACAAGTTATTCGCAAAGGTTAGATACAACCCCAATGAGCCATCAAAGTTAAGAAAGATCCCATCAGAATCTACTACAAGGCAACCACGTGAAGATTTGGGATACAAACAACCCTCACCACTTCGCATCTCCATGAGAAGGGAAAGCAATAACTATATCACTATAAAAGATGAATCTGCTGCTTCCAACAGGACTTCCGTCTTTGATATACTTGGAATGTCAACTGTGAGGACTTCCGTATTTGAGATATTAGGTCCATTGAAGAAGAAGAAGAACAAATTCCAAAAGAGATTATCGAAACGTAAGAACACCCACTTATATCAGGATCCAAAAGATCTCAAGGATTTCCAAAGTTTGGTTCCTTCTAGAATGAGGCAACAAATAAAACTTGTGGTTTCATGTGAAGAAGTACTTAAGACAAAGATGTACAATATGATCTACACCATGGAATGCGATGAAGACGACGAAAGTGTGGGTTTCGTATCATGTTACTGCAGAAAGCGAGTATGATACGTCATCTCTAATGGAGGATGATGAGAAGGTTTCATCGTATTATCACTTATCTCTCAACAATGGCAATTCTCAATAAGATGAAGATGTGAAAGATGCTCCGCCCGAAATTGAAGAAGGGGTGAAGACAACACTTGACGCCTTGAAAGAAGTTAACCTACACTGATGAAGAACAAAAGCTCATCTATCTAAGTGCTCTACTAGAAGTTGATGAGCGAAGTGCTTATGTTAAATTACTCAAAGGGTATAGAGATGTATTTGCTTGGAGTTACAAAGAGATGCTTGGCTTGGATCCCAAAGTAGCAGCCATTACCTGGCAGTCAAGAATGGTGCTCGTCCTGTTACGCAAGCTCAAAGGCAGTTTAGGTCGTACTTGGTCCCTTTGATTGAAGATGATGTTATTAAACTCATTAAAGCTGGATTCGTTCGTGAATTCAAATACCCTGCATGGATTTCAAGTACAGTCCCTGTGACGAAGAAATATGGCCAAATTCGAGTTTGCGTTGACTTTAGGAATCTCAACAAGGCATTCCCCAATGATGAATCCTGCATCCTATTCTAGAGCTTATGATCGATGCTACTACTGGTTACAAGGCAAATGTCTTTCTTGGTTGGTTCATCAAGATAGAACCAAATTTGCACGACACTAAAGGATAAAGAGCTTACTGCATTTCACACCCCAAGGTTATTTATTGCGATAAGGTTATTACCTTTTTGCTTGAAAAATGTTGGTGCAACTTACCAAAGGGCTATGCACAATATCTTTGATAACCTCCTTCATAAAACTTTATGTTGATGACTTTGTAGTAAAATCAAGAAAGAGGGGCGATCATTTGCATGATTTGAGAATGGTATAAGAGTTGCTTCAGAGATACCAAATTAGAATCAGTTGAAATGTGCCTTTGAAGTTAATTCAGGAAAATTCCTTGGCTTCATTGTTTGACATCGAGAGATCAAAAGTGATCAATCCAAAGTTGATGCAATTTTGAAAATGCCTAAGCCTCTGGATATTCATGAATTGAAAAGTTTGCAAGAAAAGCTAGCTTATCTTAGGAGATTCATCTCGAATCTAGCTGGGAGATGCCAACCATTCAGTCATCTTATGAAGAAGGGTGTCCCTTTCAAGTAGAACCAAGCATGTAGTAATGTTTTGAGAGCATTAAATCCTACTTGATGAAGCCTCCCATTTTAGCAGCCCCTACACCTAAAAAGTCATTGATACTATAAAAGGTAGCACAAGAAAGGTCTATTGGAGCATTGTTAGCCCAAGAAAATAGTCAGAGGAAAGAAATCCCTTTACCACTTGAGCAGAATGATGACACTAAATGAGCTGAATTATTCGCCAATTGAGAAGTTATGTTTAGCACCAGTCTTCTCAATTCAAAAGTTTAAGCTCTACTTTGAAGCTCATATCGTTCCTCTTATTTTTAGAGCAATTCTCTTCAAGTTTGTAATGTCAAAACCATTCTATAGCGATCAACTAGCAAGGTGGTACCTCCAATTTCAATAATTCGAGATTATGTACATTCCCCAAAAGGCCGTAAAAGGACAAGCATTGGTAGACTTCTTGGCAGATCACCTGATACTTGATGATTGGAAACTAACTGATGAACTATCTGACGTAGACGCAATGGTTGTTGAAGTACAACCTCCATTGAAGATGTAATATGATGGTGGTGTACATTGCGAATGAGCTGGTTCTGGCATAGTATTTTTCACTATTCAAGGGGAGGTTCTGCCCTACTCCTTTACGTTGACACAACATGCTCCAACAATGTTTTTGAGTATCCAGCATTAATACTTGGTCTTGAAATGCATGTCGATATGAAGCAGTTGCAATTGCAAGTCTTTGGTGACTCCAATTAGTGATCAACCAACTTTAAGATAGCTATGAGTTCAAGAAATGTAAACTATGCCCATATCATGATTATGGTAAGAAATTAACGAGATGGACCGATGACATGACTATTCAATATGTGCCTAGGAAAGAAAACAAGAAATCTTATGCTTTAGCTGCTCTAGCTTCATCATTAACTACGCATGATCAAAGCAAATTGCTATCTGCCAAAAATGGGTAGTACCGCCGCCAAATGAGGGTTAAAGTGAAAAAAATAAACTCGAGCATCTTGTTGCTGCTTATGAAGATGAGAAGGAAGATTGGAAACAACCCATCATCGACTACTTGAGCTACAAAATACTTCTAGAAAATCCAAGAAGAAGGACTGAAATTCACCATCGCGATCCGTGTTTCCTTTACTACAAGGATACTTTATATAGAAGATCATTCGCTAGAATACTCTTGGGATGCTTAGGAGAAGATGAACCCCTCCAAGCTTTTCAAGAAGCATATTTTGGGATATGTGGATCACACAGTCTGGACCAAAGTTTCTCTTCCATATAAAAAGAATGAGATATTATTGGCCAACAATGATAAAAGATAGCTCGGACTATGCTCGAAGATGCAAGGCGTGCCAGTTCGACGGAAATTTTATTCATCAGCCTCCCGAAATGCTACATCTGACCATTGAATCTTGGCTATTCAATGCTTGGGGATGGTATGTTTTTGGACCATCACCGAAATCTTCTGGCGGACACTTGTACATCTTGGTTACAATCGATTACTTCTCAAAACTGGCAGAAGTTGTTGCTCTCAAGGAAGTAAAGAAGGAGGAAGTTTCAAACTTTATCCGAGTAAATATTATCTATCGCGTCTGCATTCCTCATTACATAATAATTGTTAATGGCAAGCCATTTGATAACAAGCTGATAAATAAGATTTGTGATCTTTTTGGCTTCAAGCGGCATAACGTTTCTATGTATTATGCTGCTGCCATGACCTAGCTGAGACATTTAATAAGAATTTATACATGAAGAAAGTCGTCTCCAAATCAAAACGGGATTGGCATGACCGTATGGAAGAACCATCGCGGGAACATAGAATAACTCACCGCATACCAACACAAGCAACCCCATATTCACTTGTCTATGGAGTTGAAGCCGTTTTTCCACTTGAGCATCAAATATCTTCCTTACAGCTTGCTATTCAGGAAGGGATCAAAGATGAAGAAAATGCCCGACTTTGACTAGTAGAGTTAGAGGCTCTTGATGTGAAGAGGTTGGAAGCTTAACCGAGTGTTGAATGTTATTAAGCTTGATTGTCACTCACCTTCAATAAAAAAGTTTGCCCAAGATCCTTTCAAGTAGGAGATCAAGTCCTTGTTGTATGAAGACCCATTATCACTACCCAAAAATCTCGGGGAAAGTTCACTTCGAAGTGGGATGGGTCATATGTTGTGAAAGAAGCTTATTTAAGTAAGCTTACAAGTTGATTGATGCAGAAGGCTTGAGAATCGGTCCTATCAATGAAAAATTCTTGAAGAAGTACTATCCTTTAAAGTAACTATGCTCCTAGATGCACGAGCGTAAAAATGCATGTTATAAAGCTCTTAAAATTTGAGCTAAATCTTCAAGTTATTAAGCTCTTCAAATTTGAGAAAAATCTTCAAGTTGTAAAGCTCCTCAAAATACGAGCTTAAACTACAGGTTGTGATGCTCCTTAACTCAAGAGTATAAACTGCATGTCACTCCTGGCCTGCAAGAGTATAAAAAAGGTCTTCTACGTTGAAAACCTCGAAAGAGGCGCCTAGGCTAAAGTTTGGACATATATATATATATATATATATATATATATATATAACTACCTCATTCTGAACTATAGTATGACTTAATCCTGTTCACTAAGGTACATAGACAGCTTAGAGCTTCATTCCAAGTTTGGTCACATGAGTTCAAAAATACATGTCACCCCAGAATTTAGCACCTTAAGGATGACCTTAGATTCTAACACGTTGATAGTTTTAGATTTACGTAACTTCAACAAAGAAATTTATTTATTGGTGTTGAAACCTTTAAATGAAGAAATGGTTTTCATATTAGAAAGTAGACTCTAAGAACTTCGTTCTCACTAATACCCTTTGCTGTATTGTTGCCAACTTGTTCTAGGAGAATATTATTTTGATCGAGCCCAACTTTTGAATCTGAAGTGTCTCAATAGGTAATCATCTTTCTTGTACTTGTAGTTACTCTTTTTGTACGCAAAGAGCGAATTTGAGGACCAGCGAACTTGAAGATTTAGCAATTTTTTTCACAAAATACTTGGTAGCCTACTAAAAGCCTATAATTAAAGACACCAATTTACCATGGAGGTTTGCCCCCTTTGAATTATAAATTCTTTATGGGATCCAAAGTGCATTTTGGATATGTTTTAGATTAAGAATTTTTTATTTTGAGGAATTAAGCGGTGCATGATTTCGATGTTCCTACACCAAGATATGAATTTTTTGGTGAAGTTGCATAAATCTGAAAATATCAACATGTCGAGATCTAAGGTTAAGTTCAAAATACTTTCTAAATTGATCCTCAAGGTTTTAAATTTTGAATTTAAGATATATTTAGATTTTTAAGTCTATCTTTTGAGAAATCTAACTATTTATAATCCCGGGATTCCTACATCAAGATATAAATTTTTTGGTAAAGTCGCACAAATCTTAAATTTAAGTGTATCAGAATCGAAAGCCAAATTAAAAAAATTGTCTGGAGCAATCCTGAAGGTGTCTAATTCTGTTTTTTGGATATGTTTTAGATATTGAAGTCTACATTTTGGAACATCAAACGATTTGTTATTTTTATTTTTTCAAAGAAAGATATGAATTTTTTGTTATAAGCGCATATTATTGATAAATATGAATACGACTAAAAAAGAGAAGCAGTCTTATTTATGATGAAATAAATATCCACTAGGCCAATCTAACAGAAAGATAAAATGTGAGATAGTTCTAATAATCTAATCTAAACAGAACTTGTAGTTGATCAATTCTTGAAAACTACCCTCCAGGTTCTTCTTCTTTTCCTCCAGATTGGCTGAATCATCAACAATTAGTAAATTTACGTTATCATATAAAGAGGCCTAAGTGTCGGCAGCTGGAACTTTTGCTTGAATCTCTTTAAACTTCTTTAGAGTTGCTTGTATAACACCTTCGAGATTCTCTTTCTATTGTGGTAATGTCTGCAACCTCTTCACAACTCTCATCAGTTTCTTTTCACTAGAGGAAACTTCATTGGCCTTCTTGCTTGCTTCAAGTTTGAACGATTGAAGATGCTCCTTATCATTAAAAATTAGCTCTAGCTTCATATCTTCACTCGTTGTATCAGCCAAATTGGATTGCTCTTGGTCATATGAGGCAGCAAGCTTAAAAAGATAATCCAGTAAACTCTGCAATGGAGAAAGAACCAAAATATTTGCCTCTTTCATATCCTCAAAAATCTTAGTGATATGTTCTTTATAAGACGAGAGAAATTCTACACGAGTTTTGGGATTCCGCCGCAAATATCCACCCTAAGGGCCAAGATAAATGTCTTTTTCCGATTAAAGACAATTCTCTTTCCTTCAAAATAGATAATACTGCATCTGTTATTGGTAGGATGCAAGTTATCTCATTTGGAGTTGATCTTTTTAGGGCTTTTTTATGAGGATTAGATGATGACTTTTGTCCCCGATGGGCCCTGTAATATACTCATTGCTAACTTACGGCTTATCTCATTGGGATGCTTATGGATGCCCAATATCATTTGGCTACACAAAAAAGGGGAAGATACAAACTACTTTTTGTATAGTCATAAGCTCATAGGTTAAAAAAGAAGAAACAAAGGAGAGGTTATATTTTATTTGTCACGACTCCAACCCCGATCGTGATGGCGCCCAACACACTACTAGGCAAGCCTGACCAATTTAACAACCTTAACCCTTTTTATGCAGTTCATGATTCAATTAACACAAATAATTACTAAGTCATAATACTGAAACTCTGAAATATAGTTAAAACATGCGGAAAACCCAAGTAGAAATACTACTACTACACAGCCCGAAGAATCCGGTGTCACAAGTCTGAGCCTCTAATACACGGGTGTCAACCTACTACATATTGCTCTAAAGAAATGCGAAAATAAAGCAGATAGGTTAGATGGGAAAATCAGGACTGCGGACGTCATGGAGCTACCTTGATGTTCCCAGATATGATGCTCGGCAGAGAAATCCTCACTCAGCCTCAGTGGTTGCACCTTGATCTGCACACAAGGTGCAGGGAATAATGTGAGTACTTCCAACCCAGAGAGTAATAAACATAAATAAGGGTTGAGAGTAAGAAATCCTGGATAGGCACAATGTAAGCTATAATTACAGCAGTTTAATCCAGATAATATCAACTCAATAAACCAATGAAAACAATGATGCTACAACAGATAAGTAAATGAATGAAAATCAATTAAGAAATGCAACAAATAGTACGGTACTCTCTAGTACCCGCTGCGGCGTGCAGCCCGCTCTATTATTTATCGTCGACGGCGCTCACGGGGGTGTGCAGACTCCGGGAGGTGCCCCTTATAGCCCAAGCGCAATATCAAGCAATCTCGTGGCATCCATTAGGCCCTAAGCCTCATATCAATATCAATATAATACTGCTGCGGCGCGCAGCCCGATCTCATACTCAGTCCAGAATCATGTAAGCCCCTCGGGCACAATAATATATAAATATTCAGCCCAAACTTCATTATTAATATTATTTAAGTTCCATGTTTGTGAAAAAGTGGCTGAGTTTGCAAAACAGTATCAAATACTAGGACTGATTTCAATAATATGTAAAAATGGTAATAAACCAGTAAGAGCAATCCCTGAAGGATTCAATCAGTTGGCACGAGGCCAAATTATGACCATTAATCCATTTTTATAAGGATATCAACTAAGCTTCAATCAATTAGGTAGTAATTTTATTAAGCGGGACGGACCAAGTCACAATCCCCGACGGTGCTCTACCCCACGCCCGTTATCCGGCGTGCAAGTCAACTCACATAGCACTACGATGTGCAAATTCGGGGTTTTAAACCCTCAACACAGCATTTACATCTATTACTAACCTCAAGCCGGCCAAAATCCTAGCTCGCTATGCCCTTGCCTCTCAAATCGACCTCCTCGAGCGTCAAATCAAACCAAAACCACAACGAATACGTCACATTATGCTATAGGATCAATACCAAATCGAAAATAATCGAAAAACATCAATAATCCCGAAATTGACAAAACCCAAGCCCCGAGCCCACTTCTCTAAACTCAAAATTTTTTATAGAAAAGTGTTCTTCATCTTCTCCCGATTCCGTACATATAAAGAACACCAAAATCAGAGTTCGTTTGACCCCTCAAATCGACCCCTAAAGGTCTCATAATCTCAGGCCCCAAAATCCTATTTTTCTACTGTTTTTCATGAATTAAAGGCTGGGATTATGGTATATAATCACCCACAAATGAGTTTTAATAATCAAATCACTTACCTCTGTGATACCCACTGATTTTCTCTCTTAAAAATCGCCTCAGAAGCTTCTTCCCGTTCAATAATTGGAAGAAAACTCAACCTGCTCATTATAGGTATACTAATCACGCGTTTTACTGCTCCCAATGGATTCCTTGTGAAATTCTAATGAATTTAAGCTTTTGAATCACTCAATTTGACCTTATAATGAAGGAGATATGTAGGTTTTAAGATTTGCAAATAGTGCAGGTTTTTAATACGTCGTCAGGGACAATTTCGTCATTAACCTGAAAATCTGGGCAACCTTGATAGAATGGCCATAAATTCCTCATACGATGTCCAAATTCGACGATTCTTTTTGCTACGGGTCCGTAATTACGATACGGATCTAATGCTTCATTCAAAACAATAATCGGGGCTCATTTGTTCAATATGATATCATTTATGCTTGAAGAAACGACGTCGGAGCATAAGAAAAACGAG